GACTCACTTTATGAGGGAATTGACTTTTACACTTCCATCAAGGGATGCCAAGATGGACAAGGCCCATATCCATGACATTGTTCTGGTGGGTGGTTCCACTATAGGATCCCCAAGGTCCAGAAACTCCTGCAGGACTTCTTCAACGGAAAGGAGCTGAACAAATCCATCAACCCTGAAGAGGCTGTGGTGTACGGAGCTGCTGTCCAAGCCGCTATCTTGCATGGAGACAAGTCTGAGGAAGTACAAGACCTGTTTCTGCTAGACATCACTCCTCTCTCACTTTAGTATTGAGACAGCTGGAGGTGTCAAGACTGTTCTTATCAAGAGGAATACCACCATTCCTACAAAGCAGACCCAGACCTTCACCACTTACTCAGACAACCAACCTGGTGTCTTGATCCAGGTGTACGATGGTGACCAAAGATAACAACCTCTTGGGGAAATTCGAACTGAGTGGAATTCCACCTGCACCAAGAGGTGTGCCTCAGATCGAGTTCACCTTTGACATTGATGCCAACGGTATCTTGGGCGTCACAGCTGTGGAGAAATCCACCGGCAAGGAGAACAAAATTACTATCACCAACGACAAGAGACGTCTCAGCAAGGAGGAGATTGAGAGGATGGTGAACGACGCTGAGAAGTACAAGACAGAGGATGAGAAGCAGAAGTCTGTGATTGCTGCAAAGAACGCTCTTGAATCCTACTGCTTCAACAAGAGCACCATGGAAGATGAGAAACTTAAGGTAATTGTTGATATTAATTGTGTAGATAACATTGTTTAAAGGTTGGACAGTTTTTGTGGTTTTTTTACAATCTTTTATCACAATCACAGAAGGTTTTGAAACAAGCTGGTTCCTTATACAATTTTTATATTTATCTTAATGATTTAGTATGATTAAACATGATGAAAACCATGGTTTTTTAAGATGTGAAACAATGATCACTAATAAATACGAGATCACCTCAAAGAGAACAAATGAATAAATGTAACCAAAATAATTAAGTTCTTTGTGGTATGTGGTAGTACATTGTACTAGCTGCACAGAGAAGTTAAATACAGAGGATACAAGCTTATGGGACAACAGTGCACTTTTAGCTCTGGGATGTTGGTGTGGAAATGTACTTGTGCCGGGCAAGGACGCCCGTCCAGCAGCGACTGTTGCTAGAAACCACTTAAGTGTACTATTACGCTTATCATCTGTTTCTTAATTCTCTGTGCTAGCTGCTAATTTAATATGCTAATTGGGTTTGAATCAATCAGTGATGTATTGTTAGGTGGGTCATGAGTCACTTACTTAGTGCCACTATCATGTAAGAATCCAATCATTCAGATTGTTGATTATCCGGATAGGGTATAATCACATTTGGGTGGTTGGATTTCTACTGTATGTGCCATTAACTTAAATGAATCGTTGAATAATAATTCATACCAAAAACTCTTTACGATCAACTGATAAAAAGTAATTTATTTAATGGTCTGAATTTTAAAATTATTGTGTTCACAGGACAAGATCACAGAGGCTGACAAGACCACCATCCTGGACAAGTGCAACGAAGTGATACGCTGGCTGGACGCCAACCAGCTGGCTGAGAAGGAAGAGTATGATCACAAGCAGAAGGAGTTGGAGGCTCTGTGCAACCCCATCATCACCAAGTTGTACCAGGGCGCTGATGGAGTGCCTCCTGGTGCTGGTGGCATGCCCGGTGGCTTCCCTGGTGCACCCAGAGCAGGAGCAGCCCCTGTCGCTGGTGCCGGCTCAGGCCCAACCATCGAGGAGGTCGATTAAAGTGCATTTACTTAACGCAATTCCACAAATGGAACTTTATCCTGCTGTAAAATTTGTTATGTTCCTGAATCGAGTATTTTCACCATATCTTTGCTTTAAGTACTGTATTGTTGCATTTCAAAACCGGAATAAATGTGTTAGCGCATGCAACTTACTAGAATTGTCATAATTTTTTTTATTGTTAGACATAGACATAGACATATTTTATTTGCACATAACATTCTTTACATGTGTTACATACAGAATTGGTGCATTGTCAGAGTTAAAATAATCAGGATATAAAAAATAAAATAGTAATCAAGATAATAATATAAATTAACAAAATTGAATGATAAAACTATTCTAAACTAAAGGGGCATTGTGAAAATCTGCAATTAAATAAAAGGCTCTGTCAATTAAGAGTTCACCTATTTTATCTTTAAAATTATTTTCATAACATGATGTGTCTTTTCTAACATACTGTATGTTTAACAAAATTCCATATGTTATGTTTAATAAGTTAACTTTGTTTTTGTTTACAATCATTGTTATTTAGGATTCAATTCAGAATACACCTATTTCATTTTACACATCTTTTATTTAATATGTAACAGTTTGGCGACGAGGAAAACCAGTTTTTAATTTTTTTTTACATTCTATTTATTACAATTTATTTTTTAATATGAGTGACCTAAGTTACACTGAAAGTTTGACTGATTTAAAGAAGATTAGAGTAGTAGTGAAGGGTCAGTTGTCTTAAGGTTGAAAGATGGCTAGCAAACCTACAAAACATGTCAAAAGAAGTAATCAAAACCAGGATAACAACAATTGAAGATTATTGGGAAAGATTTAATTCTGTACAACAATTAATAGAAGAGAAAACTGAAGAATCTGAAATTGAGAAAGAAATAGATTACAGAGTAGAAATGGAGGACAAATATTACAAGGTAATGGATGAGTTACAAAAACGTATGGGACAGCTTGCAGAACTACAAGTGAACACTCAAAATATTGTGCCTAGTACATCAAATTTGTCTACTCCACAACGTCGATCCAATACTTCCTCAATGATTTTCACACCATATCAGGAAAATGAATCATTCAAGAACTTCATTTGTCGATTTGAGATATTTCTATATCTACATAGCCAAGAATTGGAACCAAAGGATCAAGTGTACACAATGCTACATGCCTTAACGCCACATTTACATCAGAAACTGTATGATTTGTGCGCTCCTGAAAGTCCTTTGGATAAAACATATGCTGAATTAGTAAGTCTTTTGGCTGATTATGTTGACCCTAAACCTAGTACTTGGGCCTTACAACACAAATTTATGACAAGAACACAAGAATCTGAAGAAACTGTAAAAATATATTCCGTTGAGCTTCAAAAGTTATCTTCAGACTGTGACTTAAACTGTAATAATTGTGGGAAATCAATTGCAAACACATTACTACGCATGCAGTTTATAAGAGGTATTAGCAATTCAGACATAAGAACAAAATTATTACAAGAAAGATCTGCTTCATCGTTTCAAGATGTAGTGAAACTTGCCTCCATTATGGAATTGGCAAAGAACGAAAGCTATATAGTAGAAGAAAACATTCATTCAAATGAGAAAATCAACAAGATAGCAGGTACAGGAACAAAACCACCCCATTTTTCTCCTACTTGGAACAAAAAGTTAAAGTCTCCATTTGAACGCCTCAAAGGTAAATGCTATCGTTGTGGATCACCTAGACACAGGGCACATCAGTGTAAATTTATCAGAGAAATATGTAAGAAATGCAACAAACAAGGGCATATTGCTAGCGTATGTTTAGGCACAAAACAAACAGAAATTCATTGTACCGAAACTGACAATACTATAGACTATTATAAGGAAGAGAAACAAGAGGTTTTTAAGATAGGCCTACACTACCAGAGTGCCGGTAATGACAAGTTTATGGTTGAGATACTTATTGAAGGTAAACCTGTGCGGATGGAGTTAGATACTGGAGCAGCAATAAGTATTCTACCATACTCTACCTTCAAAAGTCTCAACATAAATAAAAAGATTTTCCACACAAACATAGAACTAAGGACATACTCAAGCGAAATAATCAAACCCCGGGGTGTCGTCTTTGTAGAATGCACTTACAATGATCAGGTGTGTTTGTCAGTTTGTTGGGAAACTCTACATAGTGAACCAAAATTTCGATGCCATTTTCGGAAGAGAATGGATTAGAGAGGTCAAACTGGATTGGGCAGAACTTAAAACAGTTAGTAACAATACTACATCTACTGCACTCGAAGATCTTTTGGATGAATTCAAGGAATTATTTGAACCAGGAGTAGGACTCATACCTCACAAAAAAGCACACTTACAGCTTGTTGAAGGGGCAAGACCTATTTTTGTGAATGCTCGTCCAGTCCCATATGCACTAACTGAAAAAGTAGAACTCGAGTTGAATCGTCTGGAAGAAGCTGGAATCATTTCCAAAACAGACAAGTCCGATTGGGGTACTCCAATTGTACCTGTAGTAAAGCCTAATGGTAACATACGAATATGCGCTGATTACAAGGTTACAGTAAATAAACAAATCAAAGAAGAACATCATCCAATACCTCGGATCGAAGACATTTTTGCTCAAATGAATGGAGGACAGTTGTTTTGTACTTTGGATTTAAGTAACGCTTATCTCCACTTGGAAATGGATGCTGAGAGTGCAGAAATTCAAACTTTGAGCACTCATAAAGGACAATACATAGTTAACAGACTGATGTTTGGTGTAAAAGTTGCTCCAGGAGTTTGGCAAAAGGTGATGGACGGAATCCTTCAAGACCTTCAAGGTGTTCAGTGCTTCTTCGACGATATAATAATTCAAGGAACGTCATCAAAAGAACTACTAGAAAGACTAAAGCAAGTGTTTGAGCGTTTAAGGAGTCAAAATTTGAAGTTGAACCGTGACAAGTGCAAATTTTTTCAAAAGAAAATTGAATAGCCTACTTAGGACATGTTATTGACGCCACTGGAATCCACAAAAGTAAGGATAAAATCACAGCAATTACAAATGCACGAAGGCCTCAAAACATACAGGAACTCCGATCTTTCCTAGGGCTTGTTAATTACTACAACCGGTTTGTAAAGAATTTGTCCACTGTTTTAAATCCTTTACGGACGTCATTTCACACTCATCACGGACCATAAACCATTAGTGTCAATCTTCAATCCCAACAAGAGCCTACCGTCAATGTCAGCTACGCGACTATTCAACTACTCCCATTTTTTATCAGGATTTAACTACACAATTGAATTCAAGAGAACTGGTGACCATGGCAATGCAGATTTCCTCTCAAGATTTCCTGTGGAAGATTCAAAATTTACAAGTATTGACCAGTTTGGACATTTTCAAACAAACCAATTGAACACCATAACTATCAATCCCAAAGAACTAGCCGAAGAAACTAAGAAGGACGCATATCTAAAACAAATTCTTGAGGCTCTTGAGGAGGGTCAATCATTAGAGCCATTGGGATTTCACGATAATGAAGTTACATTACATGAAGGATGCCTCTTCAAAGGGTGGAAAGTAATCATCCCAAATTCCCTCAAGAAAAGAATTCTCAATGAACTACACTACGGGCACATTGGTATAGTAAAAACCAAAGCTTTGGCAAGAAGTTACTGCTTTTGGAGAGGAATGGATAAAGACATTGAAAACATGATTGCTGTTTGCAAGCCTTGTCGTGAGAAACAAAATTCTCCAACGAAAGAGATCAACCATCCTTGGGAACCAGCATCTCAGCCATGGGAGAGAATACATATAGATTTCATGGGCCCAACAAATGAACAACAATTTTTCATTGTTGTTGATGCCTTCTCCAAATGGGTAGAGGTAATACCCACAAAAACAGCAACTACCGATTGGACTATTAAGGAGTTGAAGAAACTTTTTAGTACTTTTGGTCTTCCAAGCCTCCTAATTTCAGACAATGGACGAAGTTTCACTTCTCTTACTTTTCAAGAGTTTCTTAAGTCATGTAGAACTCAACACAAAACGACTGCTCCGTTCCACCCATCATCTAATGGACAAGCTGAACGCTTTGTACAAACAGTGAAGAAGATGTTGAAGTCGATATTAGATGAACCAGGAACACTTGACAGTAAAATTCACAAGGCGTTAATTCAACTCCGTCAAGTACCAAACTCAACAGGAAACTCGGCATACTATCTCATGTTCAACAGACAAGTAAGAACATACCTCAGTGTTATGATACCTTCTAGAATCGAGGACTCAAAAGACAAACCTAAAGGTATAACACGCATATTTAAGGTGGGAGACCGTGTTCAAGTGAGAAACTACTACAAGGGTCAGACAAAATGGAGTTTCGGAAAAGTTACATCAAGAGATGGAAATCTACATTACAACGTTGAACTGGAGAACGGAGTAACATGCAGACGACATGTAGATCAAATGCTGCGATCAAGACTTTAAAGGGGGAAAATTGATGTGTCTTTTCTAACATACTGTATGTTTAACAAAATACCATATGTTATGTTTAATAAGTTAACTTTGTTTTTGTTTACAATCATTGTTATTTAGGATTCAATTCAGAATACACCTATTTCATTTTACACATCTTTTATTTAATATGTAACATAACAATTTATAGTTTGCAGGCAGCACAGCCTCAGCCCAGCATATAGTGGACTTTTTTCATAAAGGGTTAAATGGTGCCTTGGAAATCTAAAAATGTTTTCATTTTGAGTATTATATCTATGGTTGATTTGAATTGATTCTGGGAGGTTGTTTTTAGCTGAATGAATGTAGTTTAGTGATTCCAAAATGTACAGGTGCTGGTAGGATTAAAGTTTCCTTTTTTTTAAACATCATAGTTTTTGTAATTGTTTTTAATTCCTCAGATTAACTTTGTGTGCCTTGTGAAATGTGGCCCATTTTAATCGCAACTAAGAGACCTAGAGTTAACAGTTTATAGTAGAATACAAACCACATTTTCTCCTTGTAATATAACAAATTGAAATTATACTGTACTGTTAATACTGTTCGATGAAATGGCGACCATACATAGTTAGGTACGAATGAATGGAGATGAGTGTAGGATGAGTGGCGCGATCTTGTAGTCTGTTAGTGACTAAGGCCGACATTCCATAGACACAGCTGTTAATTAATAGCCCATACAGCTAATGGCAACTAAGGAACCTACAGCTTCAAGTGAAATCCGAACTACATTTTCCCTTGGTATATACAAATTGGTCTAATTATCAGGATAGTACTGCGGATAGTCATACTACTCACTCGTGCGGACGTTAATCAACACCAACACCAGGAACATGGGAGTATCACATCCACAGTGCATGCCTATAAATATCCACAATTCGTGACCTCCTCGTAACTGGATTACAGGACGACGCCACCCGTCCCGGTCTAATTATCAGGATAGTACTGAGGATAGTCGTGGCTCTCACTAGTGTGGATGTTAATCCACACCAGGGACCATCACATCTACAGTGCATGCATAGGCACTGAATCATTCATTCATATTTATAGAAATATCCACAATTCATGACCTCCTCGTAACTGGATTACAGGACGACGCCACCGTCCCAGTCACAGCATCCCAACCCGGAATACCTACAGGAGGGTGGTAAAGGGGTCGGTGCACCTAAAGTAATTTGGAATTACTTTAGTTTCTTTAGAAGGCTCAATATTTTGTGTCTTTGCTTCCTAGATCAAAACAATGAAAATTCAAGAAATATGACCATGAGTCACCTTCAGCCGGCAACACGAGTTATGTATGTTACCTTCTGGTCAATCAGGCCAGTGCTAAATGATTTGTATTGACTAAATAATGGTGTAAATACCTGCATTTATGTGATCAATTTGTTGCTAAATTGTAACCGGTTTCGACTCACAAAGGAGTCATCGTCGGGCCAGTACAGATGTCTTCTTGCTTCATTTGAAGGTCGTCAATTCATGGTAAATAAATACATTTAACCCTTAGAGTGCCAGGCGAGAAATAAAAGTAACGCTCAAAAAATGCCGATGATTTTTCCCGAAGGTCGCGCTAAAAATGCCAAGCGCGATCTGGCGATTTTTAGGTTAAAATTTCGTAAAAATCGAATTTTCGATATTTCGACCAACGAAAATCGATGTATCGCATCTAGTAACTTTCGACTCAATGTTAATATATGGGTTAAAAGAATCCGAGTATCCATTCGGTTGTTATGACAGCTGTTCGATCATTACGAAACGTCCGGTCAGCCGGACGTTGGCACTTTTGGCTCGTTCTAAAAACGTCCGGTCGGCCGGACGTCGGCACTTTTGGCTCGTTTTAAAAACGTCCGGTCGGCCGGACGTTGGCACTTTTGGCTCGTTCTAAAAACGTCCGGTCGGCCGTACGTCGGCACTTTTGGCTCGTTTTAAAAACGTCCGGTTCCCCGGACGTTGGCACTCAAAGGGTTAACACACTCACGTACACGAACATAAAAATAAACATTTAGGGCTAAAAACGAAAGATAATACAATATGGTAACGGGACACGACATGAGCTGGCGGGAGTTATGTCTGAGGCGGTACTGAGCTTCATGAAGATGTGGACATCTTGAGGCGGGATGTTGTATTAAGTCTGTTCTTTTAGTCATATGATTTATTTGTGTTTAAATATCTTTTGTTGACAGATGATTTTTGTAAAAATGTTTTGGAAAACATTGGTTTAGTTTTGAAATAGAGTTTGTTGAAACAAGATGTGTGTTTAGTATTCTTGGATTAGAAATAGAACATGGTAACCTCCGCCCGATCACGTCGTGTCCCGTTACCTGCCTGAAGTCCAGCTACCTACCGAATTTGCGCACAAAATACTATGAATGTTTGAACATAACTTAAGTATAACTATGTTGTAACAATATTCCACCACATTTTATCGTTTTAATAGAAGTATAAAACTTAAATGTACTATGAAAAAAATATGAAAATATAAAACATATTCTTAAGTTAATTTAAGCCTGAAGTCCAGCTAACGACGCCACCCTCGTTAAATTTAAATTTAACGATGCCACGAGTATTAAATTTAATACCGTACTCAACATCTTTTTGCTTCTAAGATTGAACCTTTTTCGCATGATTATTTGTGATTTTTTTTAACTTAACAGTAGACCCCCAGTCCTCCCAGATACCAGAGTGAAAATTTAAAAATGTACGTTTTCATGTCCCTAGTCTTTTACCTCGTAGATACTGGATTTGTAGTTTATTATTATGTGTTTTAATATTTTTTGGGACGGGGACAACATTTTACAAACATTGATTTGGTTTTAAATAGGTTCTAGATATTTTTTCGTATTTTTAAAGTCTCGAAATTCATGACGTGTCCCTAGGGTACATTTTCCAACTTTCACGCGGATTTTAGACTAATTATTCATGCCGAAATATATAAAGCCATATTTTTATGTCATCAATAGTTGAGTGAAAATTTAAAAACGTACGTTTTCAGGAAAAGCACTTTGCAAATTTTTTCCCCTTTTTTCAGAACTTTTATTTTTTTTTTATTTTATTAACATTTGAAGTTTCATAAAATGTCCATGGTAACGCAATATCTTTGGTAGTATTTTTTTTTTTTTTTTTTTTAAGATAATCTTTAGTGGAAAAACACAAAATCCTGTCACGACCATAACAGACGTTTAAATGAATATTAAAAATAGTTAATATTATTTTTATAACTATGTTTTGCTATAAACTAATTTACTTTTATGACCATTATACAATAAAAAGGTCACACTGAGCTTTTGATATCGTTGGTCTTTCTAGAAAAAAATAAAAAAAACTCAAAAAATTGAAAAAAAAACCAATAAAATCTTTTTAAGTTTGTATAACTCCGAAAAAACTTACCTGAGACCCAAAAAATCGTTTTGTTTGTATAGAGGTGTGCTACAGATTTTATTGGGTTTTTTCTATTTTTTTATTTTTTTCTAGAAAGACCAAATATACCAAAAGTTTAGTGAGCTATTTATTGTATAATGGCTATAAAAGTAAATTAATTTATAGCAAAACATAGTTATAAAAATAATATTAACTTTTTTTAATATTCAGTTTTATGTCCGTGATGGTCGTGACAAAATTTCGTGTTTTCCATCAAAGATGCTCTATTAATAAAAAAGCACCAAAGATATTGCGTTACCATGGACATTTTATGAAACTTCAAATGTCAATAAAATAAAATAAAAATTTCAAAATTTCAAAAAACGGAACAAAAAATTTTAAAAGTGCTTTTCCTGAAAACGTACGTTTTTAAATTTTCACTCACCAATAGCCTTGATAGTTGAAGCTGGTAAATAAGTATATAAGTCTATAATCGATCGAAAAGAGACCCATTCTTCCTAATATACATATTATTTACAGTATTAGCTTTAAATGATAAACTAATTTCTATTACACTATAATCAGTTCAGCAACAATTTTAACCATATATCACACTTGTTTACTTGAACTTGTAGTTCTTTTTCTTTTCAACTCACGCATCCATCATCCGCTTTACAATAAACAGTGGAACAGAATATATTCCTACCAATAGAAACATCACGATAGCAGTAACAACAACACATAGTGCGCATTTCCCTTTGTGAACACCAAACACATAGTGTGTCACAGCACGGAATGGAGCGAGCCAGAATTTGATTTTAACACTCGGCCTCAGAGGAGCAGGCAAAGCGTTTGGAGCAGCTCGACCCAATCCTGCAGGGTTGAAAAGTGCTTCTTCTTTTGTTAGTAAATGAAACTCCGCTTCAAGAAAACCAGCGTTCTTCGGCTCAATATCAGATGACATTTGAAAGAACGGCCACCAACCTTTCAATCGTTTCACTTTAAACAAGTCAACAGTGTGTGACGGGGATAAAAATCGTTTTGGTTTGCAACTCCTTACTGAAGTAGCTCCACGAGGCATTTTACACAGCTCTAAAACCATTGCACCGATGAAATCGTCAGGAGAAATTCGATCACTGTCCCATACTTGAAGATAGAGTAATGCAGGGACTTTGCTTTCTGCTTTCCCGACGCGAAAAAAATCTTTTTTACTAATCACCATTCTTTTTTCTTGTTTCAGGTATGAAAATGGAAAAATAAATCTCCAGTTGAAATTACCGCTTCCGTTTATTGATGTGTAGTGTATATCTGTAATCTGGGACTCACTCGTGTCCCATAACCAACCCTTGACGAATATGTCTGTATGCTTTTTACCGACGAAAAACGAATCGTCCACCAAAGGAACTCTTGCAGTGTTCAATATTACTACTCTCAACTCATACTCTTGAGATTTCCGTGGCTTTATGTCAACAGGATGGGGAACCTCCCCTGAGGAGCGATCAAATAAATCAACCCAAAGTTCCAATTTTCCTCTTTCTAGTCCTGTTTTGTCTTTCACAAACAAAGCACGTGTTTCCACATGTTGAGGAACCAGAGGACGCCCAACAACTGGAATTTCACTCCATTTGTTGAGAACTAATAAAGCTAAATTTTCATCAATATCTTCTTTATACTTTGTAGACTTATCCAATATGAATTCCTTTGATCCGATCAAGACACTTTTTTCACAGTACATAGGAGGTGGAAGGTTGTAAGTATGGCACAAATTTTGTAAAATATCAGTGGGCTTATCAACATCTCTCCATGAGTTGAGTCCACTTTTGGAATAAACTTTGGGCAACCCACAAGTAGCTCTGTGTTTGCTATAGAATCTATTTTCAATGTCTATTGTCGTTTCTCCAATAAGATCAGAAGCAGTTAACATATCCCAATCCATTACACGAATAGTAAGAATTGAGTCAGTAGGCAGTGTTGCAGGTATTTCCAAACATCTTCCAAAAACAGGATCTAACTGTTTTGCAATGTAATTTGATTTATCAGAGATACAGTTTGAATTTGTTTTTATCTCAATAAATGGATCTGCCAACCCATTTGGATCGCTAGGATGTAGATCGTAAGCTCTTATAAAGTACACCCGGATTAAAAGTTTAACTTGATCCCTGAGGTCGTTCACTGTAAGAACTCCGTTGTCAGGGCCATGACCATCAAATGCTACCAGACATTGATCAGAAGGCCATTTATATAAGCAAATCATAGTTTTGACCCTGATTATTGCTTCTTTCTGCTTCTTTATCATAAATGTTTTCAGGACGTCATTAAACCCACTGAATTCTTCTTGGTTTTCTAGTTCATTGTCATAAACTTTTATATCTCCAGAGAAATATGCTAACCACCAGTCGTATTCTTCTTCCTCAGTCTTATGTTTAACATGCACATTAGATAATCTAATTCTGCTCACTACTTTTGAAAAGTTAGAGTAGACACTATCAAAACATTTTTTCAAAGTAAACTTGATACCAGAACCAATATTTTCACCAGAAATTGATCTTCTCCTAGGCTCTATTTCCAATAGTGGGGTTGAATCTAATTCAGACTCTCGACAAGAAAAATGTCTAGATTCCGCTTGATCAATGAATGATTTTCGTTGGACATTTAATGCTTCCCACTTTATTTTTGTCGGTAAATCGTACTTGTATTGATTTATATTTCTTTCAATTGTACATCCCCTAAAGTTGTCAGAGGTGAACTCCAGTGTCAATGGGGGAGAGAAATAATCCACACGAGGTAATGACAACGGAATGATCAGTGAGTCATGTTGAAAATTAAGAGATGTTTTGGTTTGAGTTATAATACTAGACTTCACTTGACCATCAGAACATTGTATTTTTACCTGAGCCTGAGAAATATTCTGATTGAACCCTGAAACATCCACTGGTCTAATCCCCCAAAATGCTACCTCTAATCTATAAGATATTGTATCAGGATCCATATCGTGATGATAGTTATTTAATGCACTTGATAAATCATCAGTTTCTGCATTTATTTGAACAATCTCAAAAACTGACAAAATTTGAGCTTTATTCCCTATTTTCAACCAATGCAGTTCAGCTTGATTCTGGTTTCTACACAATGGTTTAACCAATTCCACTCCAATCATACTTGGGGGCTGCTCTGACTGATTCCAAAGTTCCACAGTTATCGTTGGAGGATTTTCTTGACTAAAGATTTGGGATGTATACAATCTAATGTCTGATAAAACCAGAGTTTCTTTCCAAATTGGTGTAACTGATTCTTTCACAGTTTTTGTTTGTTGGCTTTGGTTTAAGCACAACACTCTTACAAAAGTGTCAATGTGACTGTCATATTGGGATATGTCTAAAATGTAACCATTATCAATTCTACAGTATATAATATACCTTTCAATCTCGTTGTACCTTATCGTGAAAGGAAGATGTACAATTTGAGAAAGGTCTTCGTGGCCAGGAGGAAGTTCTTTAACGCAGTATGACACCTCATCCCAAAATCCAAGCCATAACCAAATATCTAAACGTCCAGCAAGTTTATTACTTGGGGACTTCACCAAAACACTAATTATTCTACCACAGTCACGCCCTCGTTTTCTATTTTTTCTAGAAAACAAAATGTGACGAGGATCAACTTTGTTAAAACCTATTACAGTGCGGTTCGCCTCCAATGAAAGAATAACACATGGAAATGATTCTTGAATGTCATTGCAAAGCTCGTCAACAAAGTTTAACACATCTATTAATTTTTGTAAAATCATCTCTAGGCTTTTTTCTTTGATGCAGTTCAAAGCTAGATGGGGAAGTTTAGAACTGAGAATCTTCGCCAAACATTTAACCCTACCATTGTCAAAATCATTAAATCCTCCAACTAGCAATCGGCTTGCTTCATGGCAATCTCTCTCAAATTCTTTTACTGCAGTTTTAACCACATTTACTGCTTCTAGATGATGACCCCTAAAGATCAAATCTTCTGCATGATCAATTGCCTTTCTCAAACTCTGTGTGACGTTGGATAAAATGTTTGAATTCACCAGACGATGTGTGCAATCCGGCCACTCAGAACGAATAAACACACATGGTTTTTGACCATCAAGAGCTAAATATGAAAAGTTAGAATCACCTGCAACTGCTACAAATTTATCCGTCGAAGGATGGTTCTTAGTTTCATCTGAGCTTAAACGTTCACATGATCCGAAGTTTAAAGCCAGCTGTATGTTACTTCCTTTCCAACTACTTTCACAAAGCATTGCATCAAAAAGCAGTCCAAAACATAGAAAATTGTCAACACAACCAAATATCTGCCGAGAAGGAGGCTCAGTTGGCAAAGTGTTAACGCTATGTAATGTCTCCAAGTGTCTGAACGTTCCAGCGCCATCAATTTCAATAGCCATAAAAAGACTTCCATTCAATAAAAACTCATTTTTGTAGAAATGAACATAGTTGGGACCAAATACGTTTTGATAACCTGCACTATACTTTAGAATTTCTAAGATACAAAAATGTTTTGGTATTACGTTATCCTTTCCAATAACAAGTTCAACAGTAAATTTATGAAATAATGGAGGAAACATGGCGATAAATATGATTTGCTCATTCCATTCTACAATGTTGTTAAGTTTTCGTTTAGTTGTATTCCCTGTTTTCCCAGCAAATGAGACTCTAACGGACACATCTGACTCAACACCCCGTGTTTGTGATAAGCCAACACACTTGTAGATCTTTATTCGATACCTTACTCTTTTACCAATCATGGCATTTTCTCCTACCTCTAAATAATTACCAGCTGCTTCTTCTAATGTGAATGTTCTGTATCCCGGTGCTGCTTCAATCTTTATATCACACTTCAAAAAGCCTCTCACTTGGTCACTGTTATCACTCGGTATAGTCAAAGGCAACCAGTTCATCAGTCGTTGATTCGCCTGGTACCAAATCATTCCAATATCAAACATCATGCACCCAATCAACTTTTTTAACCTAAGTTTTTTTCTTGGTTGGAAAATTGAGATGGTAACAATTGTACCAAGGAGGTTTTGAAAGGTTGTGTTCATTTCAAATACAAAATACTCATTGAAGTAAGGTTTGTTAGTGTTTTTGATCACTTTTGTCTGTTTGTGTTTTATTCCAACTTGAACTTTTACCAAAGATGAAATATTATCATCAGGTAAATCTTTAGCTTCTATGATCTTAATACAAATGTTGAAATTATCTGGTGAATGACTAGTTTCACACTGCATTAAATAAATTAACACTAACTCATATAGGGCACAAAAATCCTTTCATTTAGGCTACATTATCAAATGGGATTGAAAACATGCACATTACTCGGTGACACTCATTTACTCACTATGAAGTTGTGTAACCTCAAAAAACCTAAGTAATTCCAGAGTTTTTCTCATTTAAAATTCAAGAATAATGTCAATATTTTGTAACTATTGTATACACATAGCTTATACCTGAACCACATCATAAATCTTGAAGATCTAAATATTTACTGTTTTACTTTTGGTTAGCATAACTGTTTACTGAACAGCTGAAAAATTAGTAAGTTAGACCTTTTAAAATTGAAATTGAGTGAAAAAAAGTTAAACTCTCAGTGCTTTTATTTTTTATTCTATTATTTATTCTATTAAAATTAATACTATTTTTTAAATGTGTACGCAAAGTTTTAATATTTTTATACATTGAAAAAATCAAGCTTTTAGGAATTCCCTAATTTTAGGCACAGTTGCTATTACTGATGAGCTATAATATTTTGCTCATATTATGCCAACAACTTACTGTTCCTTATCAATAATCGATCATGTGAGTTTTGCAGCAAGGTTTACATTGCTCAAATACAGTTTGGCCAAAGTCAGAATGCTAATGAGGAAGAATGGCCAAACTCATCCAGAGCTACATTTACCAACTGTATTGCTCCTAGACAAAACCGACCATTTATGTAATTTACAGAACAACCACACTGACTAAAGCATCATACTAATGTTTTAATGTCATGTATTTTATACGAATTGTTTATTGTTCTACACAAAATATTTCTATTACCGTACTTAATTACTTAAAAGGTTTCTCGTAACCAGGGTTTAAGTTTTTCAACCATACTCGGTAGTGTATAGACCAATATGCCCAGTAACACTATTAAAGTCAGTACAATGAAAAAGTTAAGAGTAAGTCCGAAATATGCCTGGATATTTTGTCTGTTGATCATTTCCTCAATCACCTGGAGCGGATTCCTCCTGTTGCTGGATCTTGCAGGGGGTGGCAGAGGGTCTGGAGGTGATCTCCCAAGTCCTACTGGACATCTGCGAGCTTCTTCAGCTGTTATCAAGAAAAACTCAGCTTCTAAAAAGCCTCTGCCTTTAAGAACAGTGCTGTTCACTAGGAAAGGCCACCAACCATCAAGATTATACACTTTGAACAAGTCTACATAGTTGGATGTATCTAGAAAACGTTCTAATTTGCAAGCCCTAACTGAAGGTGCTCCCCTTGGCATTGAACAGATTTCAAACATCATTTCACCGATGAGAGAATCTTCCATCAACCCTTCACTGTCATAAACTTGAAGATGGAGAGTCGGTGATACTTTTTCCTCTGATTTCCCAATGTCAAAGAGGTTTTTTGAGTAGAATACCATTTTCTGTTCTTTACGATAGTACATAAACGGAAAAACAAACCTCCAGTTAAAATTTCCTTCACCTGTGTAGGATTTGTAATGAACATCAGTCTTCTGCAAGGTCTTTGGGTCCCCTAACCACCCGGTTACCAATATGTCAGTACATTTTTTGTCTTCGAATGTGTATTGATCGATCAGTGGTATTTTAGCAGTGTTAAGAATATTTACCCGGAGTTCATAAGCTTGTGGTTGTCTCGGAGTGATGTCTAATGGTAGGGGAATGTTGCCTATGGATATGTCGAACATGTCCACCCACATCTTAAGTCTTCCACGGACTAGTCCTGGCCGATCTTCCCTAAACAAAAACCTAGTTTCTACGTGTTCACCGACCAAATGTCGTCCTACAATGGGCATTTCTTCCCAGTGATTTAAAACAGATAAGGCTAATTTTTGTTGGTTTTCTGTCCTGTCCAAAGAGGTTTTGTGTATAGAGAATTCTTTAGAGCCAATGATCACACTTTTCTCGTGGTACTGAGGAAGTGGCAAGTTGTGAGTGTTGCATAATCTCTCAAGAATATCTCTCGGTGTTTCTATATCCCTCCAAGTATTAGGTCCTGAAGTCTCATAACATTCAGGGAGTCCACAAGTGGCTCTATGTTTACTGTAAAAGCGGTTTTCAATGTCTATGATTGTTTCGCCAATAATGTCATTTCTAGAGATAGCATCCCAATCCATAACACGGACAGCTAACAGAGAGTCTATAGGAAGAGTTGCTATTATTTCAAGGTAACTGCCAAAAACTGGATTCAATTCAGCTATCTGTTTATTGAATTTATCATTTACCGACTTTGTTGGAGTCGCTATCTCAATGTATGGATCAGACTTCCCGCTTAAGTCACTCGGATGAAGATCAGTGGCATTCACACAATAGACACGAACTAGTATGTTGACCCTGCTGTTTAGCTCAGATAGTTTTAAAATCCCCATTTCTGGATCTTGCCCTTGAATCGTAACAACGGGTTCTTCTACAGGCCATTTATATAAACTGATAATGGCTTTCAACCTACATAATTCAGTGGGATTGTTCAAATTATTTTTCCTTTTTTTGACAGAAAAAGTGCTTAAAACATCAGTGAAACCTGAAAACTCTTCTTGTTCCTCTAACGAGTTGGGATAAATTTTCATTTGATTGTTCCAATACCTATCCCACCAGTCCAGGCCTAGGTCCTCCTCAGAACTTCCATCATAAGAACTGTCATCTTCACTTGAATGATGAACTAGTTTTTGAAACAAGTTAAAATCACTAACCATATTCTTGAACTTATTTGGAATGTCACGAAGTGCTCCTATTGATGAAGAACTGTTACCGGATACCTCCGCCAATGGTACAAGATCTGGGAATGTAACTTGAAGTGAAGTGTTTGCTACTGCGGTTTTATCAACAGATCGAGCATTCAACAACTCCCACTGTGATTTCTTAGGCAATTGGTGTTCAAAGATGTAAATATTCTTTTCTGTTAAGGTTGTTAGGTACTTTAAATTAGACATTATTTTAACTGTCAGTGGTGGAGATAACAATCTGTCTTGGGGTAAATTCAAACATACCATTTGTATGTCGTGAGTAAAGTTGAAAGTTGTGTTGACTCGAGTAATCATATCTGATGTTATTCTAGCCGAGTCTAATTGTACAGAAACTTGTGGTTGTATAATGTTCTTCAAAGCCCTTGCATGTGATGGACGTACTCCCCAGAATACAATTTCTAATCTGTGGGATACGGTCAGTGGTTCGAGGTTTCTGGGGAAAATAGTTCCATGTTTGCGCTTACTAATCATTTCCGAACCGTCTTCTTTGTCAGTCAGGAATATTTCACAAGACACAAGAACTTCACAGTTTTTTCCCACTGTCCACCATTTAAGAGGCAATTCTGCGATTTCAATAACCGGTTGAAGCTTGACATTAGAATCTATAAGGCCTTGTCCAATTAATGAAGGTGGATCTGTAGCTTCATTCCACAACTGTAATGTTAGGGGCGGAGGATATTCCACGAGGTATTTCGGAGCTCTATGGAGTTTTATATTTGTTACTATAAGAGTTTCTTTCCAAGTAGGCGCCATAGTTCGTTTTGCAGTTATCGTTTGTCGATTCTGATTGAGAAAACAAACTTTTACAAGTGGATCACACTCACCCTCATTTACCATTTCTTCATCAATGTAGCCACTATGAATGTGGCATACAACAATGTATGAATGACTGTAAGGGTAGATTAAAGTAGATGGGAGCATTAAATGTTTTGGGTTTACATTCGGTACAGAATAACGTTTGTATCCAGAGGGAAATAATTCTTGGCACTTGTCTTTTTGCTCCTCTTTTCCAAGCCACAACCAAAGATCTAATTTGGCTACTACTTCATTGTTGTTCCCTTTCAAAAACAAGTAATTAATTTTTCCTGAGTGTGTGCCGTTTCTTTCTTCCACCTCTGAAAAAATTATGTGTTTAGGATGTACCACGCAAGATCCAATCTCTCTTTGATTTTGGCAGAGGGTGATTTTTAGTAAAGGTAGGGAATCCTGACTGTCTTCACTGCAGTTATTGTGAACATTCAGGAAGAAATTACATCTTTCTTTTACATTATCGAGGCTAATGTTGTGTGCCAGTACATTAGCTAAAGAAAGAATTTGGTCCCTCAAAAATTTTGTGTGCTTTTTATCTAATTCCGTCATTCCTTTCATCAAGGAATGTAAAGCTTTCTTGTATCTTTTTTTAAACGTTTGACAAGCTGTAAGTAAAGATTTCCGAGCCTCCTCCTCACAACCTTTGGACGCCATCACGTTTGAGAAGTTCAACCGTTCTCTGATGTCATTGGCAAGGCCAGCCAAGACATTGGTATTGTACAGGCGGTGGGTACAATCTGGCCATTCACTTGTGAGCGAGATACAAGGTTTTTCTTCATCAAAAGGGACACACATAAATGAATCATATTGTATAGCAGAATAACGCTTGGTCTCTACTTTTGTAGAACCCATTTCTAAAGACAAGTATATTCCATCCGTACCACAATTTTCTTCACTTATTGTCAATTCAAAAACTATACCAAAACATAGAAAGTTTGTTTCGATTCCGTACTTAATTTGACTGACAGGTTCTATATAATTCAGTGATATCCCATCAGAGTGCTCAAACTCCTTAAGTTGTCCCAGTACTTCACTCTCCAGACTGATCAATAGGCTTCCACGGTAGATTGTTTGTTCAGTGTAAAGATGTATATAGGTGGGTCCAAACATGTTGAGAAATCCACTGTGGAATATTTTGAAAAACTCGATAATATTGAATACTTTCACAGCGAGTGATTTATTTCCCAGTTTTACTTTTAGTATCAACTTTTGCCGCATTGGGGGAAACAGGTCAATAAAAGCTATTTGCTCATTCCAAGCTACTATATCCTTCAGGGTTCTTGCACTGGTATGTTGAGATTTGCCTGCATAAGTCACTTTAATTGAAACCTTGTGATCGTTGTTCATGCCTTGAACTTGTAACCCGACTCCGTGGTACAGTAAAACTTTGTATCTTCCCCTTTTACTCCCTATGATTTCACTTGTCTCAAAACTTGAAAGCTGGTAAAGCTGGCGATATTCGTCAGGGGCAACTATTTTCAAATCACACTCCACAAAAGCTTTCCCCTGGACTGAATGATCCCATGGTAATGAGAGAAGGAACCATTTCTTCAATCGGCGACCGGGCTGATTCCAGATAGTGGCGACATCCATTCTGATACATCCGATAATCTTTCTCACTTTCAGATGGGTTCTTTTGTGGAATGCGGAGATTACAATAAGGGTATCCATGAAGTCTGAGAATTTTAAGAATTTTGTAAAGACAAAGAAATCATCAAAGAAGGGCTTTGTTGAATGTGGAATTACTTTTGAGTGACGACTTTCATGCCCAACAAACACGCTGACTTGGGTGGAGACATCTTTTATTTGGGTCGAAAGGCCTCGGCATTCCAGAATTTTCACGCAAACGTCAAAGTAATCTTTTCTGGAGTTATTCATAAATGGTTATATTTACATATCAAACTAACTGAAGCTGGTTAGTAAACATAACATTATTATGGTTTCAGCAGTATATACAGTTCTTTGAGTTTTAAAAACATATGATTAATTTTGCTGTAGAAAATTAAAGGTAAATAACATTATGGATGTGTTAACAACTAGGTTAATGTGTTAATCATTGTGGTTAAGTGACTTAGTCACTCAATTATTGATCCATTACTTGGGAAGTCTATTCTGGTATAATCATGTAACATGCAAAAACTAATAATGATTTGCAATACAGTTTCAAGTATTCATGAAAAATAATATTCACAAAAATCCATTATATTTACCGATGAAATGTTTTTGTTGTGCCTTTTTTGAGAATGGTTGTATTATTTTTACAGGGGTAAAATACAGAATATTCATGAGATATAAAACATTGTAGCATAAATCTGTTTATTAAACAATTCTATACAAAATATAATAATGTACTCTTACCATAAGATGTCATGCTAGAAATCTTTTGCATTGTTGTCGCTAACTTTAAGTCTATTGTTATAGCTTGTGCATAGTTTATAATTTGTTATCGCTATTATTACCATAGTCTATTTTTTTGTGTAATTGTTGTTATTGTTGCTTGCTATTGTATATCATTTGTTACCATTATTACTAAAGTAGACCATATTTGTTGATATTTATTATAGTTCTTAGGTCAACCAGTTCTTTATTGTTAGCTTGTATTTATTATCGTTGCAATCTCTGCCATCTTGTTAATTTTTGTTCATTTACTTTAGTACCAAACTGTATTAAATTATGAAACATTTGGGATGAATAAATAAATAAAAATGATTTATACCTGTAGCTGGGTTAAATAATAAAACTTAGTGATACTACGATTAACAAGGTTAACTAGTCTACATGGTATTTATTATCATTATCGATTAAGATAATGGCCGCCTATTTGTGTATTTTAACCTGCTATTTTGTGACTAATTTTCAATTTTATATTTTTAAGCTAGATTTATCGTTTATAATTCTGGACAGGTGTCTTCTAAGAAAGTTTAATAGGGTTAATTTATGCAGGGCCGTTTTCATGGTCACCATTTTAGATTCAAGTATAAATGGGCCCTGGCCCAGGGGCACAAGAGGTTTTAGGTTTGTTGGGGGTGCAAGGAAGAGAAAAATTCTTCCACGATATAGGTGGAGAGGGGGGCAATTATTTCTCAGGCCCATCGCCCATCACATGCAAACGGGCCAGGATCTATAGGACATTGTTTTTTTTTTATATATATATTGAGTTAGCGATTGAACAATCATCACTTTGTTATACAGGGTGATTCAAAAAGGACTTTACAACTTTGAAAATTCATATAAATCTTATTAAACAAGGTGCAGAGCTGGTTTTGGTGTTGTTTTAAAGGAAAATACTTCAAGTTTTTTTACCTTAAACTAAAGATGTTCTATGTGACTTCCGTTGGATTTGGGGAAAATAATTATTTATGTATAAAAAAATAGTGAAACCCGTAAAAATTTTTAGAATAATTTACAAAATTTTGAAAGTAGGGCGTTTTTTGACGGTGAAGGAGTGTGATTTTCGAAAAACGCATAGTTAGTGTCTTGTAGGAAATTTAATTCCGAACCTACGTATTTTCCTCAAATATTTTCTAGCTCTTACTGTTTTCGAGCTATAGCCGTTTGAAAAAAACCTGTTTTGTCGTTTTCAGAGGTCCGCCATTTTGGATTTTTGGGGGGGTTAAAATT